TGTTTCTCCCATCTTCTTGGAGAGCCTTCGTGGTGTAGTGGTTTTGCACGCTGGGTCGGTATTCCAGAGGTCCGTGGTTCGATTCCCGGCGAAGGCGGTTGTTAATTTTTCATCTCTCCGGCCTCCAAAAAAATACCTAATGTCTCTACAGTGGCACCCGAACTAAAAGGGTTGTGGATGATGACTCTCCACACCTAGGATTTGGCGATTGGGTCCCCTAAAAACCCCAGTCGGAACCTTTAAACCTTTAAAAAGGGGAGTACATAAGGTATTTCTCCCACTTTCCTACCGTGCCTTCGTGGTGTAATGGTTCTGCACGCTGGGCCGGTATTCCAGAGGTCCGTGGTTCAATTCCCGGCGAAGGCGGTTGCTAATTTTTCATCTCTCTGGCTTTCAAAACATACTTAATGTCTCTACAATCTGTAAAATTTTTACAATCGTCTTAAAGTGTTTAGATGTATTTCTAAGCACACCTGCAAAAAACTAGAGCTTTTTATTCAAAATTTCCGAAGATATACGTGAATTTATATATTGGCGCGTTTTGAAATTTGGCATATTTGTTTAAAGCGATAATAACGAAAATGTGGATTACGCACTTAGTTAAAATTATTTAAAAGTAGGAACGATGTAACTTTTCCGTTTATCCACAGTGTAAAAAGATAGGAACGAAGGAACCTTTTTCCCGCTTCTGCACAATGGAAGGGAACGAAAAATAGGTTGCCATATATTAAGAAGTCATCAAGTGAATTATTCTTGCCTCAAACTGAAAAAAATGCGCCAAGTTAAATTTTTGAGTTTCTGCGTAAATTTCGCACCAAATTTTACAAATTTAATATTTAAGCATAATTTGAGTCCTAGAATCGAAATATTTAAAAAATGTTATTTCAGAAAAAGGTCCTATTTTATGTCAAAATATCTATATTAGAACAAAGCTACATTTAAATCTAATATATATCCTAAGTTGCGCTTTCGAGACATGGAAAACGCAATTGGAATTTCGTCAATAGGCCCAGTAGAACGGTAGATATAGAACTGTCTCCCCCCTCCCCGCAGTGTATTTATGGAACGAAGGAGTTTTGGGATTTCTTTTAAACATACAAAAATACTGGGAAATCATGTTTTATGAGGCGGATGTTCTTGTTTTTTGCTATATTAACAAATTAAATTAAATCGTGGTGCAATATTTAAACGGCTGAACGTAAATCATCTTTGGCGTTTTTCAGCGTTCAACGATACTCGCATGTAATAAGCTGAGAAAGGTCGTTTCACCTAAGTATATAGTGCTGAATGGCAGAAGGACATTTAATACTATTTCAGAAAATGTGGGACATTCTGTTGTAACTTCCATTCAGAATTTAGTTAAGAACTTTTGAGTAAACTCAAGTTTGGGTCAAGGTAATTTCTCTTAGGCTTTATATGGCAGGCGATTAGTCTCATAATTTTCGATCAAATGAAAATGGTTTTTGAATCCAAGATAACTTTCGAAATCAGAATTCGATATCAAATATTTACAAAACTATGTTTTTAGGTTTTGTTTAAATGATCTCTAATAATTTTTTCAATTAAAATTTCATAACCGTCGATTGTTGAAAAACGTCGATTGTTGAAAACATTTCGAATGAACAATTTTACACCGATTTTTCTAAATGCTAATCTTCTTAATAAATCTTCAATTTTATCATTAGAAGTAACTATTATATTGCTATTTTCTCCTTAAAGAGATAAGTTAAGATCATTTAGTTTTTTAAAAATGTCTGAAAAATAGCACATCTTCGACACAGCGTTTTCTCTCTTTTAATTCATCTTTTAATAAAAATAATTTTCTTAAACTTCGCCCTGCTGATATCCATCTTAGTTCTGTGCGCAATAATTTTTTTTTTTAATTCTGAGTCCAAAATATTGCAGAGATTTGATAATAAACGGCTGCTGTTAAACGGCTTTTGATAAAGTTTATAATTTGTGACAGCATCCTGAAGAACATCCTGCAATTCTTCTGCTTTTCCCCTATGGAAGGGTCTTTTGATGGATCGACCAATATATAAAAGTTTGTATTATCGTTACCAGAAATGATTTGAAGTTAATATTTTTTCACCGTCATCGTTTTCGCTTTATCTACGTTTACTCCAAAGTAATTTTTCCGTTCTAAGCATCCAGTTTTAAAACATTGGCTAGCTTTACTATGCATTTCTTTTCCTCTTTTATGTTCTTCCAAAGGACGACAAGATAATCTTCATCGATGTTTTCTTTGTAAATGTATGTGAAATATATTAATAACTGAGCTATTTGTGAACTATTAGGTGCTTCAAATGAATTGTAAATGTTTGGCTTCCTTTAAATCTAATCAGTAGCTTGAATTGTAATTTCAGAAATTAATCCTGTCGTTTTACACGAATTTTATGAATTTCGTCGCAACATTTAACACTGTGAAGTATTTCTACGATTTTTGTAGCAGCAAATTAGTAGTTTTTAGGCAATACAAGATTTTCTACAATGGTTTATGATCTTTTATTTCTAAGAATCAAATAGGAAACTTCGCGCTATACAGTCAAAAGTCTTTAATCCGGACTCGTCGGGACTTCGGCGATTCCGGATTATCGATTTTTCCGGATTATAGATCATCAGTTTAAATCTGGTAAGATGGCATGCAGAAATTATAAAACTAAAAATATGAATCCGTAATTTATAAAATAATGAGCAATTATGATCTAAAGGGTATCCAAATTTACCAAAAAAGAAGCCTAATATTTATTTGTTTACTTTATTAAACATTTCTTTTAAACGCGCGGATGCGTAAAGCATACCTTACTCATAGCCGATATTAGAAAATTGCAACCAGAAAACTATGTGATTTGTATTCGTGATATTTATAATGACGAGGAATTTGATTTAAATCATATCAAAGACGGAGTACATCGAAATTAAATACTACATTTAGTAAGGAATTATAAGCCGAATAAAATAAAAACATCTGCCCTGAAGATAACGATAGTGCTGACAGATCAACTTCCAGTTCATTGCGCGCCGCGACGTGCCCCCCCCCCGCGCAGAGCAGCGTGAAATTGATAAACAGATTTCGGAACGGTTAGATAACAAAGGATATGCTTTTATTCATTTTTTGTAGCAATTCGTTTTTTGTTTGATGGACATCGAAACATACTTTCGTTTTCTAGATCCTTTGGGAGCTCCAGCATCGGAAATTCTATTTGACATAATCGAAAGTTCAAGCTTACTTTTAGAAAATTGCTCTTACAGTCTGCAAAAAATAATAAGCCGGATCCAATTTGAAGATTAAGAAACAACGCAATTATTAACATTAACTGAAATAGATAATTAGATAATTTTAGCTTATACCGTCCGTCATACATTAAACGCGCACGCGAAAACGTATTCTGCACTTGCGCAGATGCATATGCGCAGTCGTAAATGTCTTGCGCACACGAGTAAAACGCCTATGCGCATGCGTCAATGCGGCGCATGCGCAGAAAGATTTTAGCTTTGAGGTCCGGATTATAGATCATTCCGGATTACGGGTGTCCGAATTAACGACTTTTGATTGTACAATCAATCAATTAATCAAGTATGAAGCGAATAAATATTTTCCCCCAATTGCCATACATTCCTCAAAATACTGTTTTTGTTTGAGGATTTTTAACAATCGTTCGATTTATTCTTTCGGTTTATTGGCGTACGAAGGTTGCTTGAAATCGGGAAGCCTGTTTAATTGTCTTACTGCCTTTGTTAAATTTGTTACAAAGAGATTGTTCATTACCATGACAGTCGTTGAAATTAGAGCCGAAACTGGAGAAATGTCTCATCATGTTTTCTTTTTTTCGCGTTCTAAATGCTTCTTTCTGATTACTAGATCCTGTTTGAAAAGCGTCATTATGATTGCTATCTTGGTCATTACCTTTCCTACTAAAGTTAAAACCATTCATCTACATGTAAAAAATATTATATCCTAAAATATAAATAAAATAACATCTGTTGTAATGATTATATAAATAAATACTAACCTCAGTCGAGTAAAACAGTAAATATAACCTTGCATTATTCTTACGATTACTAAAACAGGTTGCTGATTATTCTTGCTTAGTTCGTTTAGTTACACTTGCTGCGGTTACGCAGAAACAACTGGCTATACTGGAAAAATGTAATCTCTACGCTTGTCACAGCGAAGACGACACGTCTGCAAGGCGCAGCACATTAGGTACAGTGTGTTAGCAGCATATTTTGACTCTAAAATAAATTATATGCTGAAATTACAGTGCGATACCGTCATTACGATGGCCATAGTGGTACTTTCACTATGAAATATAATTTACAGTACAACCTGGTGAGGATTACGATTTTATAACTCAGCTACAATATACTGAAGAACATTAAGAGACTGCGATTAACATTTCTTTTTAAATATATTTATTTGAATTAAAATTTCGCAACTCCAACATTTCGCTTGGCGAACTTATTTGGGGTCGCGACTCACAGTTTAAGAAACGTTGATATAGTACATATTATAACTCGAGACAGACAAAAAATAAATTATTTACGCATTTTATCGCTTAGAAATTTATTTACAGAATTCAAAGAGTTACTGTGTTTGAAGCAAAATAGACCGATATAAAACTTAAAATAAAGAAAAAATGAACATTATTTTAGCATAGATTTACGCAATACCGGCGCTAAGCATTTTGCCACCCTGTGCAATCTCTGCGAGTCCTAAATTCTACTACGCATTGCCTCTCTAAATTCTAAAACTTTTTTCGGCCCCTAAATTCTGCTGCCCAGTGCCTTTCCTAAATTCTAAATTTTTGCAAGTCCCAAATTTTGCTGCTCATTGCTTCTCAGCCTCCCGGTGTGTCCGAACCGATTGCACCGGCTCGGGCTCCGGCCCTAGAACTACGTTAAAATAAGGCTGTTGTTTTACCTAATTTTAAATTACTATGGTATTAATGAAAACATCAGATGAGTCTATATAGCGTAAAAGAATACAGTATACTTACCAAAATGGAATGTCACTTTATGAACCGTGCCTTGATATAATGGGCAATGTTCATGTTCGGAGTTGCATTCAGATACTTCCATTTGCACATTTTTGCTAAAAACGGTCGTATTTTGACCTGCAACAAAATATGGAATATAATAAACACATAAAACTATTCTAATTAATTATCGTAACCGAGAATAGTGAATCAATATTACTGTTGTGCTTTCTAGCATGCAAACTGGAAAACTTCGGAATGCAACCAACACTTGATTACAGTAGCAGTGGATGAATAATTCTACAGACGCTTTACAAGGATAATGTTAAAAAAAGCTTTTAGCCTATCAGCGTGGGTTCTGAATACAAAGCCATAAAGACTGTAGGAAAATTGTCCTGTTAAACGTTTTTGCTTGCTATGGAACGTATGCCTATAATCCTCAGCTCTGAACAGAACTACGGAAACTTATACATTAGAATAAATTTGCTATATTGTATGTATTGCATAAATTTGCTACGCCATCTACATTAACCAGTTCAGACGCGTGTAATGATATTTTCTAAAGGCTCGATCTTATAACTTCGCCACCACACTCTAATAAGAATTCTGCTGAATCACTATTTGAACAAAACGCGTTTAAAGATTTGGCACTAGTTTTATATTTAAAAAAATCGAGTAATAACTGTTACATAATTATTCTTTATACATTTCGTTTTTTAGCATATTGTAAAAAAATCAGAAAACAGCAAATGCAACACAGCGAAAACAGCAAAATTTTGGCAATATGCACTGATTAAAAAATATTTTAATCTAATATGTTAAAAGTATAGACAAAACAAAGATATCGTAAAGTCTACCTTTCCGCACTCATATACCATATGCCAGAAAACAAACATTCAAGGTTTAAATTAATGGGTAAACGTGGGAGCAGACAATAAGGCAAAACTGGATGACATTATAACGTAGCACATTATTTAATTCCCAATTTGAAAATTTAAAAAATCTTTTCAGTTTAATTAGATATTTTATATGTTTCTTTGAAATATGAAAATGTAAACATAAATGAATGCATCTGTGTATACATATATATAAAGTCGACTAGGATGTGTACATGCTGCCTCAACTCCAATGGAAAATGGTGTTGATTCCGGAATCAAGAGTAACGGTCTTCTCGACATTCACAAGTGTGCGGTCGAAAAGTATTTCCATGAGCAAAATCATTGTGCCGAAAGTGTAAAATATTAAAGTGAAGAGAAATCCATTTTTAAAAATTAATCTACAGTAATGAAGGTGAATTAATGTGTACGAAGATTCAAAGTTTATTTCAACAACGCAATCTAGTATATGATTATCGAGGTCATTGTGCTTTCTATTACTACAGCAATTCCAATTTATGCGTCAGCAATTTTCTTCATTAAAAGTTAGTTCAAAGTTGCTTTTCTCGTCCAAGATGAATTGAAAAATGGGAATATTTCTTGCATGATTTATTCATCGAGTTCTAATTTCTTAAGTTTTGTGATATGGATTTTTTTTAAAAAGATTTTATTTAGTGCAACTAAAAATATTATATTGAAATTGCTAATCATTATTATTATATCGAAAACGGAATACATATTGCTGTTTCTTCTTGTCTTGGATTAAATGTATAGCATTGTTTTATAAAAAATGGTACTAGAAATTCGAATTCTAATAATTTAGTAAAGTCGTAGAGACATTAGGTATTTTGGAAGAAGGTGTGATGTTGCGTGGCCCCAACTGGTCAGCAACAGTAGTAGTGACTGCTATAAACTGCAAATTATACCAACTCGTAAGAAGGGTTTAAATCCCTTTTTATTTCACTTTAGAAATCACAGTTGCGTTCACTTGACGCTCACAAACTACGCCGACCCGGCGGTGCAACAAAATTAGAAATGTACAACTAAAAATAAATAACAGAATGAATAAATAACGAGGTCACTACCTACGAGGCTCTATAATCGTGACTAACTTAACCGCGTTCTAAGATACAGCTGAGATTCAGCAAACTTACGGATTAAGAAGTTGAAAGATTCAACGAACTGCCGAAATAGGCACACAGGCCGAAACGCGCGGTTCTTAAATTTTCTACCTAGCAACCTTCACGCTCGTGATTCAAGAAGCACACTTACAATCTCGTTTCCCTTCTATTTAACTCAATTTACTTCTGCTAAAATTTGAATACTCTGCGCGTTCTACTACAATTTTACATACTCTACTCTGGCATTGGCAATTCTAGGGGAAAGTAAAGGCTTGACAGGAAAGATAGTTAATGTTTAAACTAATTAAAAGTTGTAAATGTTAGTTAAATAATAAATATGTTAGTTAAAATAAATATAAACCCTACATTTTGCCGCTGCCAGAATTTGGTAAACTTGGAAGCAGGTCCTAAAAACGACCTGTTGAAAAAGTTTCCATATTCTAACCTAAGACTCAAGAGCTCCCGTTTACATAAAACAAACTGTTTGCCTAAAAAATTTACAGCATCGTTAGATTTGTAGACGAAGAATACCAATATCTTCTTACAGGATCCTTTCTGTTTGCTCTTCAGCAATCAATCTTTTTCTCTTCCTTCCAGCATCTGGAAGGAAATAAGTATCAGTATCTTTCTAAATACATTATGATTTACACTTTCTTAACACTGGATAAAGTTTTCGTTTTCGATCCTTTTCTTTTCCTTATTAACTGCTTACATTCACATTCATTCAAATATTCAAACATGAATTTAACTTTACCCTAGTTCTCCACCATGTGTGGTGTCAAACGGGAATCTTCGTGTTTTTGTATTACAACAACACTTCCCCTAACCACAATGATTTGTTAGAATTCAAACGACCAAATATGACACGCCTTAATCCGACATACTGAAACTCGATGAGCTATGTTTAACATTCTTAAAATTCAAGTTTAGGTGGAGAACCCTACAAAACACATTCATTCTAATTCCCACTCATTCATCTTTAGACATGCAGGCTTTCGCTCTAAAGCATGATTTTATCTACAGTTTAATACTTAAATTTGAATTCATTTCTTTCGAGCATTTACTTCTCTGTACGCCGGCCTCTTGGGGGTGGTAGTCTCCGGGTTCCTGTCCTTTCCGTTTTGCCCCTGGACGGCTGGTCTTGGCGTCCTCCGGTCTGGATTCTTGCTTGAATTTCTTCTGTTGGTGCCAATCGTTTTTCGTTTTCCTCGTTTCTCCTCCTGTGTCTTTCTTCTCGTGAACGGCGGCCTTGTTTGCTCCTGACTATCTGGCCCTGGAAGTGTTTCCTCCTCTCCTCGACGCAGAATTTCTACTGCGATAAGTTGTAAGTCTGGTCTTTTCCTCTTTACCAAAGATTCTTTACGCGGCGGCGTTGATTTCCTTGTACTTTCTTGAAATGCTGGAGTCTGACCATTTTCCTTCCTTCTTTTCGGACCTAGAATGACTTGTAGAAGGGCTAGGTTCTCTCTCTGTTCTCTGCTTCTGGGTTCGGGTGGCGTTAACTTCTGGAATTTTCCACTTCTTTTGCGCTTGAGTCCTGCAAGAAACTTTTAAGGATTTCAAAATCATTTTGATTATAATATTTTTTTCACCTGGTCGGGACTTGCTTTACAGATTTCCCCTCTCTCGTTCTTAAGGTACAATACGACTCCCTTGATTTCCTGAATTACATAGGGGCCTTCAAATTTTGGAGCTAATTTTGCAGTGAAAATTGTCTGGGGCACTTGATAAAGAAAATTTCCGCTTTAACACTTTATCCCCAACTTTAAAATCTGCTTCACGGCGTTTTCTATCATAGTAAAGTTTCTGTCTATTTTTTCTTGCCGTATCCGAACTTTTAACCGCCTGATCAATAAGTTTCTGCACATCTTTTGTTTGAAATTCTTGCTCTCTTTGTTGCACAAAGAATAATTTATCTAATGGCGTAATTAACTTTCGTCCTAAAAATAATTCTGCTGGAGTTTTTCCCGTAGTATCGTGATTTGCCGTTCTTAAAGCATAAGCTAACTCATTTATGTAGCCATCCCAGCGCTTGTGATGTGTGCTAACATAACTTCGAATTATTTTTACAATATTTTTATTAACTCTTTCTGCTATGTTTGCCTGTGGTCTATACGGAACCATTTTGATATGGCGTATGCCAAGTCCAGTGCAAATGTTTTCAAATATTTGGCTAACGAATTGTTTACCGTTATCGCTAATGACTTTTATCGGTGCACCGTATTTTAAAATGTATCTGTGTAAGAATGCATCTGCGACTGTTTTGGCTGACGCGCGTTTAAGTGGAACAATTTCTGCCCATTTTGAAAAATGATCTACAATTACTAAAAGAAAACGATTTTTATTTAACTCACTCTGGGGGAAAGGACCAAGAAGATCTATGCCTAAAATTTCATTCGGAAATGTAGCGCGAATGCTATTTAAGTACCCGGCCGGGCTGTAATTAATATCATTTATTAACTGACATTGATTGCAGGACCTGACATACGCAGTTACTATTTTGTATAATTGCGGGAAATATACCGCCTCGCGTACCCTTTTTAAAGTCTTTCTGACCCCTAAATGACCCGCTGTTTTCGCGTCGTGTAATTCCTTCAAAATGCTTAATCGAAGCGAGGCTGGGATGACTGGTTTATATTCGAAATTTTCGTTTGTTGTTTTCGTATAAAATAATAAATTATCTATTATTTCATAGTTTTCTTTTCTGCTCTATTTCTTATCGCATCGATATCTGTGTGTTCAAAGCTTTCGGGGTCTTTCAAATACGCATAGATACTTCCAAATTCAGGATCAGCTTTCAATTCAGCAATAATTGTTTCTCTAGAATCTAAAATTTTTGAAGTCAACACAGCGCATTTGAGTTCATTGCCTTCATCGTCCAGTTTTATACGAGAAAGTGCGTCAGCAACATTGTTTTCCTTACCCGGTTTATATTTTAATTATGAGATTATATTCTTGAAGTTTTAAAGCCCATCTTATTAACCTGGGCGTTAGGTTTTTCCCCGAGTAAAGTCTACCAACAGCCGCATGATCCGAAAAGACTGTTACTGGCGCTTTGCCGAAATAAACTCGAAATTTGTGTACAGCCATTAATACGGCTAATGTTTCTCTCTCTGTAGCTGTATAATTCCTTTGCGTAGAG